TCCCACATTTTTCCTTATTTTTACTTAACAGAGTATCATTATATTTAGTAGAATTATTTGCAAAAGCCTGTTTTTCCAGACATATACTAATAAGAGGAGACAACTTATGGAATAATTTCTCAAGGTGAGGTGATGTTACAGTAATCAAACACAGAAGAAAAAGGCTCACCAAGCAATAAAAATTAGAGCAGAATTTAAAGCTATTCACATACAAAACTCATCATATAAAACACAAGAAAAGTGGATTGGTTCATTTTAACTCTGAATTAGCATTCATTTCAGCGAGAACTCATTATTCCCAAGAGGAGGAAAAAAAAGCAAAATATGATGCTTTTCCTCTTCAGACACGGAAGGCCTAACAAGTAGTCATTAGAGAGCCTTTTTGAGGAAGTGATTGTCAAGTTCACCCAGATCTATATTCATTTGATTACGTATCATTCACTAAGCAAAAGAGGTTTGGTTAAAGTCAGATTTCAGTTGATTATGCCTGAAAGGTAGGAGAGAAAATTCTGCAGTTATTGTCAGATAGTGTGCACCCCAGTGTGAGATCTTGCAGAGAGGAAGAAAACATTGACAGTGCAGGGTGCCGGGTGCTATCTCTTCATTGCCTCTTTTAGTCCACAAGCCACTTTATAAGGTCAGAAATTATTATCCCCACTTTACCGGTGGGAAAACAGAAGCTTAGTAAGTCCAAGTAATTTGAATCTAGCTCATACACATGTAGTTCGTAAAGTGATTGAAACAGGTCTCCCACGATTATTGAGGCATAAATGCTATCTCCTTAGCTTTTCTGAATATAAGTATTCACTTATAAGAGCAGTTTTAAGCATTAAATATTGTGAAAACACTTTGCAAATTCCAAAGCATTAGATAAATGTATGGCATTATTTTCTTTGTGAATATTTAATAGGGCTACTTAAAAATATTAAGAAAGAAATTGGTTCAGTTCAGGCTTGCATCCTACATTTGCAGATTATTCCCCACACTTTCGAAAATTTTTTTTTGTATTACATCAATTCCACACCATTAGTCTCTGTTTAGAGATCATAAACTTTCCAAAGTCATACAGCCTTATTGGTCAACATTTCTCAAATACCTTATTCATGCCATGTAATTCATTTTAGTATATTCTTTTTTTTTAAAGATTTTATTTATTTATTTGAGAGAGAGAGAATGAGAGATAGAGAGCAGGAGAGGGAAGAGGGTCAGAGGGAGAAGCAGACTCCCTGCTGAGCAGGGAGCCCAATGTGGGACTTGATCCCGGGACTCCAGGATCACGACCTGAGCCGAAGGCAGTCGCTTAACCAACTGAGCCACCCAGGCGCCCTAGTATATTCTTTTTTAATATTCCCTTTTAAATTACTTTTTTAAATCTTCTCTGTATATTATACTACCTCTAGATTAATTAAGAAAAAAAAAAAGCAGTGTGTGTTTGTTGGCAAAATAGAACAGGAAGTAAGGAAGAGACCAGTTAACCCTAAGTGGAAGGCCTGTGTCTGTAGGGCTATGTTTTATAGTTGCCCACGAACAGTTTGGAATCTTCCAAAAACTTGTTATAGAAACCTGGCCATGTTCTGCCAGGAAAGTAGTGTGTCCCAAAGCTTGTTTCTTGGGGAATGTTGCTCCACCACAGCACAGTACATTGGGAAATGTTTCATAGAACATAACTTCTTTTGGACTTTCAGATGCATATTTGTATTTTAAAGACTGAGAAGTTCTGTAGTAAGCCTAACTTTGAAATAACTTTCCATGACTTTTCATATTTTCCATGGAACACAGCTCTGGCCAGGGGAGTATGGGATGCTGCCATCAGTCTATTCAATTATGTTTTCTGCTCATGACGTAACAGTTTGACTATGCTGGATTTGGATACAACTGTCAATCAAGATTTTGTAGGGCTAAGATGATCAAACTAAGATACAGACTGGATTCATGGTCCAAGTTTATGGAAAAAAGTGAATGAACAAGTTTTCACAAAGCTCAATTTATTCACTTTGAAGGACTGACATTTATTCTGAATCCTTCAACGCTTCATTTATTTTTTCTAAAATTTTATGTATTTTTTTGTCAGAGAGAAAGAGTACAGGCAGGGGAAGCGGCAGGCAGAGGGAGAAGCAGACTCCTCACCGAGTAGGGAGCCCAATGTGGGACTCCATCCCAGGACCCTGGGATCATGACCTGAGCCGAAGGCAGATGCTTTAACCAACTGAGCCACCCAGGCATCCCTCCTTCCATGTTTTAAAGTGAAATATTGGTGATAGGAGATTTTAGTTGACTCAGCTATGAGCTTCATCACAAGACTAAATCTCCATCATGGCAGAGATAATATCTGTTTTTGCTCACAATTCTAAGGCCAACACTAGTGCGGAGCCTGGCTCCAAGGAGGCTTTCCATAAAATTTGTGAAATAAATAGTAGTTATTCTGATTAGTGCTCTATTTGACAAAATGTATAGTTGGCACCCCTATATTGGTCTAATTGTTTCTAACTCTTGAAAACCTTGGAATCACTGAACCAGATGAAAAGTCGATGTTGCTAAAATATATCTATTGCAGTAGAGACAGCTCTTCTACAGTATTGTCATTGGCAGGCAGCTACCCCATTAAGCATTATATTTCCAGCCCCTTTTGCATTCCAGTGAGGCCATGTGGCTAATTTTAATTGACAGAGTGAATCCAGAAATGATATATGTCACTTCTAGATCAGGTCTCTGTCCATTCACAAGGTGAATGCACAGGACCCTCAAGATCTTGGGATGATGGAATCACAGGATCTGGGGAACCTGAATTGCCTTAAGAAGGAAAGTCAGTGACCAAATGAATCACACACATTGAACTATTAAATAAACATGATATTTGTGTTAAACCACTCAGATTTTGGTATTTGTTGCAGAAGCCAGTGCTGGCTAACATCAATATATGGATTCACACACATATGTTTTCAGAGGCATATACTAGAAGCATATGCACCAAAAGGTTAAAAGTGGTCTTCTCTATGTAATAGGATTAATGGATTTTCTTATTTACTTTTTCAAAGTCACCATATTTTCTAGACTCCCTTCAATGAATAAGCATTACTACACATTAGGTTTATAATCCAGGGAAGAACACAAATAATATATATGTGTTTGAATGATTCCAAACTCCAAGACCTCTTGCTATTTTGTTTCGGGGATCCTTCTTCACTCTCTGGATTCTTCAAGGCCCTTTGTTTGTTCTGAACCTCCAAACTGGGCATATGCCCATCTTTAGTCAAAACTGACAAACTGAGAAATAATCTCCCAGAGGCATCTGAGGAATAATCACAACCCAACTTCTCTTTTTGCCTCTCCAGAACGGCGGGTTACTGCCTTGGGGAGAAAGACTGCTTGGATCATTGTACTGCAGGTGGATCCTTCATTATTTCATTCACATTTGTAGCTTTTTATTCTGAAATAATTTCAAACTTAAAAAGAATAGATCTTTAAAAATCCTTCACCCAGAGTCCTCAATTGTTATCATTTTGCCGTATTTAAATTATCATTCTTTCTCTGTAGATAGATGATGGATGGTAGATAGATAAATAGATAATAGATATAGTTAGATGGATGGATAGGTAGATAGAATTCTGAACCATCTGAAAATAATTTAAACAAAAAGTTGAAGACATCTGGCAATATTCATCAAAATTCAATTTATAATTAATTCAAAATTCTTGAAAAAGATAATTATTAATTCCATGATTTCACTTATAGTAATTTATTGTAAGGAAATACTTATAATCACAACAATGTTTATCATATTGGAAAACAAGAGATGGCTATGTATCCAACAATAAGTCTGGGTTAGCAAATTGTACAGTACAATTATGTACAATGCATTACCGTGCTTCCCTGTGTCCTTCTGTTTGCCACTCATCATGGGCCTCCCTAGCCATTAAGATGAAGTTCAAAGCTCTTAATAGGTTTGCCTCTGTGGACTGCATCTCTCTTATCACTACCAGGACTCTCTTGATCCTGCCTGAGACTCCTTCAGAGAAAGTGATCATCCAAGATACGCTCAACCTTATCCAGCTTTGGTGAATATTGGTGTCATTACATATGTTTTTCCCACCCTTCCTGCATGAAGGATCAAAGCAGGGACCATCAGACATGGAGACTCTGTCCTCCTTTGGGTCTCAGGCAATCCTGCTAGCCTAAGAAACAGGTCATGCAATGTGACCAAGGGTAGAGTAAAAAGCCTGGGCTCGGGCGCCTGGGTGGCTCAGTCATTAAGCGTCTGCCTTCGGCTCAGGTCATGATCCCAGGGTCCCGGGATCAAGCTCCCCACTGGGCTCCCTGCTCAGCGGGAAGCCTGCTTCTCCCTCTCCCTCTCCCCGTCTTGTGTTCCCTCTCTCGCTGTGTCTCTCTCTGTCAAATAAATAAATAAAATTAAAAAAAAAAAAGCCTGGGCTCTTCAGGAAGTTCTGCTCATTGTAAGAGCAAACTAACTTAAAAATATAATCCAAATCCTACCAAATTTTCAACAGATAACCTATCTTAATTTCAAATAAAGAGGTCAATGCCTCAAAATTACACATTCAGGAGAATTCCTAAGAGAAGAATGTCAGCTTCATTCTTAGTACATCAACTGGAACTGTAGATTCCCTGAATCCACAAGCTGTGGATATGTGAATACACAGCTAGCCTGTATATTCAAAAGCTGTGTATCCCTTTCTAGCCTGTATATTCACCTTCCTCACTAAGAACAATGAAAACAAATATATTATTACATAATTTCCAAAGGAAATCACTTTACTTTGACATCTCAAATTCAGACATTCTGAAGTAAAAATAAACATGAAATTTCAAACAGGGAGTGTTTTGGGTTATCATGTTTCTTACACAAGTAGTTGGATGGAAAATCATAAAATTAGATATAGCACTTATGAAATAAAAACAAGTAAAGTTAACTATGAAATATGCCTCATAAATATTACACAGTTTTAATTAAGGCAATAAATTCTGAGAACCAAGAAGGAAACACTCCAAAATACAATGTTTATTTAAAAGACGATATAGTTTGTGCTGAAGACATTGTTTGCAGGAGAGAAAGAAAAAATCGAATACAAAAATGCAACATTTTCAATCCATTTGACTGGACACATCAGTCCTGGATCTCTTCCTTATTTCAAAGAGTGTACAAGATTCCACACAAACATTTAATTTTATTTAGTTTATTAATATGAGCCAAACAGACTTAGTTAAGAAATGAGGAAAGGACACACAACAAGATTTGGCTGAACTACACAAAGGGGACCTAAAAAGTGACAAGATTTTCCATTGGTGACGATTTTACTAAGGAAAGTTAGTTTATTAACTAATATAAAAATAAATCTACCTTAGCAACTGTGACTTAAATTGAGTCAGGACGCCACACACATGACACCCAACATGGTCAGTGAGGTGCTGCAGGGACCTCCCACCCTCCTAGGCTGGCTTGTACTACCTGGCCTTTGGCCCGGAACCTCATGAAGGACCCCTCACAGCATGGAGTTTGCAGCCAGCTACATTTCCTCCTCAGCCTCCAATCCATTATGCACCATTTTTGTGTTTCCCTTAGCTTCTTTCTTTTTAGAGAGTGACAGAACTCAAGAAAAAACTCACCTGGTCAGCGCTGAGCAGGGAAGGAAAAAGAAAATACTTTGAGATGGGTTTAGGGTAGTTTGGGAATACCAGTAGCCTCAGATAAACAAAGAAGCTAGAATAAACATCACTAAAAAGCACTGAGGTAAGGGGCCCATCAGTTTTTTTACAGAAAAGGGCAGAGCTGGGTTAACACTGAAGGACAGAGAGAACCATTGTCATACTGTGGAAGTCACACCCAAAGAACAATAAAGAGGAAGATTAAAGAAAAAAAAAATTTTAAAGAGGAAGAAACATGGAACAGAGAGTACTTTCTTTTACATTTTTAAGGTGAAAGCATTTTAAGAAAGGAATCTGGAAGCCAAATCACCAATTATTAAAAAGTGAAATAACGGTAATGAGTCTTTAAATAAAATGAACCATGGAAGGAAATAAAGACCTCTTTCACTTCCACTTGAGTTTGTGCAAGTTTGTTAAAAAGGTTGTCAGTCCAGTTTTGTTTTATTGGCAATGGATACATGTTATCAGACATATCTGAGCAAAAGAAGAGAACCCAATGGACATCTCTCAGGTAGACAGGGAAGGATGGACGTGGGGAGGCAGGGCGTGTGTGACTGGAAGTTCTCCACAGGCCTCATGCTCACTCTTCATGCCCATAGTGTCTTTAACCCGACACGTTCGGATCACAGGAAACACCGTCCCCAGGCACAGAATGGTGAACACAAGTGTGTGCTGTGCAGCATGCTGCCGAGTACCATGAAGCCCACGAGCAGCTCAAGAGAGCGATTTCTGTGCACGGAAGAGGAAGAAGAGGCTCCACACACCAAAGGCTCTGCTTTATACGGTCTTTCCACATGGGGAGGTAACGCTGTCATCCCTTGAATCTGAAACCCAAAGAGTAGACAATGCCAATGATTGAAGAGAAGGTCTTGCTCAGCTCCCCCACTTGGGCAGGGTGAAAGGGGTCGGTGGGAAGGGGTGGCTGCCCAAGGAGTCAACCGTCAGGGGAATCGGAGCCTTAGGGACTCGGAGGGAGGTGAGGAAGAGAGCCAGAGGGGCCTTTGGGAAGAAGAGATATAAACTCAGCTCTGTTGCTTTTTGAAGCTCTCATCTCATCTTATTCCTGCTTCATTGTGACCTTAGTTGGACAGTCAATCTTTCCCCTTCATAGGGAGTGGAATCAGGAGTTTTCAGTCAATGCAAGCAGTTATTGAACAAATAAATTATAGACATATCAAAAGACAACTGAAACATTGGATTTATGGATATTTGTCTGTTCCTTAGATTTTACCTGTTGGGGATTAGGTAAAATGTGACATCTGGTTTCTCCCAAGATGAAAACAAAGTAGGGCTTACCGACCACTCTGCATTGTCTGTCTTGGAGCATCTCACGTTCACGGGCAAGCTAAGGACTAGCTTGTTGAAGGAAAGACCTTCCTTCTTAGCCCATTTAAACTTATTCATTGCGTCCATGAAAGAAAGGTTTTTATACTGCTTGGGGCTTTTGATAATGAAGGGCCAGGTCCTGAATTTAAAATAACCACAATTAGTCATATTCAGAACAAAAGCATTACATGTCTCCATTACTTTTCAACATTCTAAAATAGACCTCAGACTTGTCCACTGTTACACACATAGAAAACCTAATGCAAAGGATTGATTGACTCATTAGCAATTGCCAGAAGAAATATGCATACCAAGTAAGGAGTCTTTTGAAAAAAATGAAATTCCTTATTTTAGTAGCAGATAGGTACTACTCTGGATAAATGATTTTGACTCAGAAAGCTTCCCCCAGCTTCACAATTCCTCACTTATTTGTTTTGTTTCTCCTTAACAATATAGCTGGTACGCATTCTGGTCTGCAGAATTTAACACTAATGGAGTAATAAAGAAATGTATTACTGTAAGACACAGAAATTTCAGTTCCATAGAGTTGAAAAGCCTGACCCCTGCTGGCTGCCCTGTTTTGACTTGCCTAAGTGATAATAAATTTAAAAAATCTGGACCTGAACCAGTATTTTTCAAATTTTACTGAGAAAAAAAATACTCCACAGAAGATATATTCTTGCTTCTACTTGCTGCTCTAAAAAAACAAAAACACATTCTTGTCCAAAAAAGAAGAAAGAAAGAAGAAATCACAGAAGAATGATACAATCTGCTTGAAAAGATATTTCTCGAGTGATGTTTTTCATTAAATGTAAGTTTTATACTACTGATTCCTGAAAAAAGGAAAAGTGTAAGTGTTGGCAGACCACAAAGATTTACATGAACTAATCTATGGGCCTTCCCATAGATTCCTCAATGAGTGGGGAGCCAAATGCAGGGCTCAACCCCACGACCCTAGGATCATGACCTGAGCCAAAACCAAGAGTCTGACGTTCAACCAACGGAGCCACCCAGGCGCCCCTACAATTTCTTCATTTATCTATGCCTTTAATTACTCTCACACACACAAGCTACTCAGGCACATTGAATTATTAGCTTTTTAATTAAATTAACCATCTTTTATTGATCTTTTAGAGTTATGAACATAAATTTTTAATGTCTAAAATAAAATTATTGCCCCCTTACTCTAATAAGTGAAAGAGAGAGAATCTGAAGCCGACTCTACAATGAGCGCAGAGCCTGCTGGGGGCTCACCCCACCGTGAGATCATGACCTGAGCCAAAACCAAGAGTCTGTGGCTCAACAGACTGAACCACCCAGGCACCCCTACAATGTCCTTTTAAATATGTGGAAAGCTACAGGTAGGTTTTATTAAAAGTTTCAAAATCAAATATTAAAAATAAGATTTGCTTTTCAAAGAGATAAGGTGTCCATCTTTTTAAAAAGAAAATCAATTTCATAACCAGTAAGAAATGTTGGAAGGAAATCATCAGCCTTTAGCCCCTGAAACACCACGAGGTGGCACTGGAATCCGTACTAAAGCGTTAAGGGGGACTAAATCGGCTCCGTTTTCCCCAGCCTTGCTGATGAGTGAGTGGTGCATTGCTGTACATAGATGAAATCTTTAAAAAGTTTTGCTGCCATAATAAATCAGTAAACCAGTTTTTTTTTTTTGAGACTTCACAGCATAAATTAACAGAAGTGGTATAAACACACTTGTTAATTTACTCTAAGTGTATGGAAAAGGATGTAGAAAAAGTTCACATGTTCGGAGACCTCATGACCTAGGGCTAGTGACCTGGGCACGTGGTCCTGAGCCTCTCTGAGATGGCAGCTGGACTCATATTTATTGTCTCCTCTCCATTCCTTCTGACTTTGTTCAGGCCTCTATCTATAATGACATCACACCAACAAACCTCCTACCCCTTCCAGCCTATCCTATACCACACTTCTGGATCACTCCTGGAGAACAGGGAATGGACAGATGGAAGGAGGAGAAATCCTGAAAAAGTAAATATTTATCCTGAGTATTTTTCCTTAAAACACTCAGCTTTAAACCAGAAACAGGTAACCTTGAAGTAGCAAGTTCTGCTTTCATGGGGACTGGGAGTTGGTTAGGAATATTGCGAATGGTTTAGAAATTAAAACAGTCTCATTTCTGTACATCTGAGCAGTGTGTAAATGTCTACCCAGATGCATATATAAATAAGAGGGTATTATTTATGAATCACTGTAGTTGATAAAAACAAATTACATTATGACTTAATATTGGTGAGCAATTTTCCTTTGTAAATTTAATTGACAAGTTGATTTAAAAAATATATATATAAATGAACTTAGACTACCCAAAATAATTTTGGAAAAAGAAACAAATGACAAAGTTTTGGGACTTACATGGTCTTATTTCAAGACTTATTATGAAACTATGATAACAGAGTGTGGTATTAGAGTAAAGCTAAACATGAACATCAGTGAAACAGAATTCAGAGTCCAGAAATAGTCAGTATATGATCCAATGATTTTCAACAAACATTCCAGGGTAATTCAATGGGAAAAAGGTAAGGTTTTTTTTTTTCTCATCAAATGGTTCTTGAATAACTTGATATCCATATGAAAAACTATGAACATCAGTATTTACCTCATAACACACATAAAAATTTACTCACCATGGATCATCAATCTAAATATAAAACCTAAAAACTGTAAACTTTTTAGGGGGGAAAAACAGGAAAAAATTGTTATAACCTTGGGTAAGCAAAGACTTCCTACACAGCATATCCAAAGCACAAAATAAATAAAAAATGATAAAATGGGCATCAAAAAAATACCATTAAAAATGAAAATGAAAATCTCCACAGACTAGGAGAAATTAGTGGTAAAAATATATCTGACAAAAAGCTTATATCTTACGTATAAAGAACTCTAAAAATATAAAGAACTCTTACAACTCAATAATAAAAAAACAAGTAACCCAACGTAACAATGGACAAAAATTTGAACAATTAAAAAGGAACATATATAAATGACCAGTAAGCATGTGAAAAGAGGATCAACATTGTTAGTCATAAGAGAAATGGAAAATAAAATCACAATAAGATACCACTACATACACTTAAAATAAATAAAATTTAGGAGTTCTTATACATTACTGGTAAGCATGTAAAAAGAAACTTCATTTTGGAGAGTATTTTGAGAGTCTTATGAGTTAAACAAATCCAGTGATTCCAGAACTCGTGCTAGTCCAGAAAATGGAAAACACGTCTATACAGAGACTAATATAATACTGTTCATAGCAGCTTTCTTCATAATAGCCAGAGACTGGACACAATCCAAATGTCTTTCAACTGGTGAATCAGTTGATGAATTGTGGTGTATGCGCACAAGGGAATACTACTCAGCCATAAAAAGGAGTGGACTGCTGGTACCCACATAGATGAATCTCAAAAACATCCTGAATCGAAGAAGCCAGGCACAAGAGAGTACATACTGTAGGATCCCATTTTTATAAAACCTAGAAAAGATCGAACTAATGTAGTGGTAGAAAGCAGATTTGCAGTTTCCTGGAGCTTTGTGTGGGAGGTGGGACTGTCTCCACATAGCAGGAGAGAACTTATGGGGGTGATGAAAATGTTCTATATCTTGTCTGTGATGGGGTGCATTTTGTCATAGGTAAGTTCTACCTCAAGCAATGTGACTTTAAAATAAAATTGCAAAACAGAAATAAAAACATACCAACAAGCCAATGAGGAAAAAGACAACATCAGGTCATACACAATCTAATTGTTAAAGAAGAAAGCCAGGAAATCTGACCTAACAAGGTATAACTCTGAATCCTTTTGACACTCCAAGAATAGAGGAACATTGGGAAGCCCACAGTAAAGTTGTCTCCCTCATAGAAAAGAAGCTTCTGGGCCACAGCAGATTTGACCGCATGATGTAAGGCCTCAGACATTCCTCTATGGAAAGGGATTCAGCCCCAGCCAGTTAGAAAACTTCTGCAGGGGGCCCTCTGGCTGGCTTGGTCCATGGAGCATGTGACTCTTGATCTCTGGGTTGTGAGATTGAGCCACACGTTGGGTGGAGAGACTACTTAAAAAAAAACCTTTAAAGGGGAGCCTGGGTGGCACAGTCGGTTGAGTGTCTGACCCTTGGTTTCAGCTCAAGTCATGATCTTAGGGTCGTGAAATCGAGCCCCGCATCAGGCTCTGTGCTCAGTGCAGAGTCTGCTTAAGACTCTCTCTCCCTCTCCCACTGCCGCTCCCCCACCCTCTCTCTCTCTCTCAAATAAATAAATCCTTAAAAAAAAATCTTATTAAAAAAAAATAAAACTTCCTCGGTTGATTTTCTTAAGAACATCTGAGGAAGGAATAACCCATCCACTGTAATCCAGAGTATACAGTCCCACCTCTATACCTCTATCCCCACAGCCCTTTACCCTCAAAATACGGTAAAGTGTGTACATAAAATATGTCAGCCAAACCTCAAACTGCACTGTGCAGAGACAGAGGGCTACTGTCACATTTGCTTAGAAGGTAGACAAGAATTCACCCACATTTTATCAGAGCAAAGAGACGTTTTAGATAGACTTAGCTCAGCATAAGCAAGAAATGACATAACAAGCCTGAAAACATAGGGAAAGAAGAAATTATATCACATTTCATGAAAAGAGACAGAAAAAGCTGACTCTAGAAGAAAATATAAACCAATTATACCAGAGAGAATTCCCACAAGTGTTTCATGTGCTAAGTTTATTTAATAAGAGCATGAATTTAATTAAACAAGAGCTCACATACAGGAATTTAAAACAACAGAATGAGATGAAAAGGGATGTAGCAGACCAATGGAAATAAATTTATGATAAAACAAATTTAGCACCAAATAAATTAGAAAAAGCAAGAAGCAGAAGAACCCTTCCAAAAAATTGTAAGAAAAAGCACTTGTGAAAAATTCCAAATAGATTAGAAAACACTTTGTAGATATAATATAAGAAAAAAATTTTCCCTATAATAGTAAGTGCTAATCATAATCACAAACAAGACTAAATCCTACCATTTTATATTTTTGCATCATAATAAAAAGAATAAATGAATATATGTAATGAAAGAACACATTGTGTTTCAGGAAAATTTAACGCAGATG